TTATCATAGCTCAATTTGAGAGCAGAAAACAAAAAATAGCATATTCAGAAACAACGCGAAAGACTACATCGAAACATATATTTTGGTAAAATAAATTTTCTAACCAAAATTTGCTTGTGGTCTCTCTCAACAGTTCTTTTCCAAAACTTTCCTCGTGGGTTCCGTCACGTCAGTTTTGATTAAAATATTTATTTTGCCAAAATATGTTTCGATGTAGTTTTTCGCATTGATTCTGAATATGCTATTTTTTGTTTTCTGCTCTCAAATTGAGCTATGATAAAAAAAACTACTAAATATGATGATAATTTTAACAGTTTTCTATGGTTTTGTCACTGATATTGAAAGAAATCCAATTTTCTCAATAAAGGAGCGAGCTTATCCAAAATCCATACATAGATTTTTAGCATCTGACACAGTTATAAATAAGTAAAAAGAATTATTTAAACGTGTATCTATGAAGAGTTTATATCCTCGGAAGGTGCTTCCTTGGAGGCAATCAGTCCTATCTATAGCCTTACTTGTGACAGGATCGATTGTTCAGTCCTTTTCTTCATCTAAGTTAGTTCAAAGTTGTTTTTTTATATATCGAGCTTTCATAAGAGTTTCAAATAAAGTATTTTTGGAAGACAAAAATAATGTTAAATGCAAGAATATGGCACTACACCGCCCATATTTTAGAGGTCATATCATTGTTGGGGTATTTTTGGATATTATACTATTCTAAAAAGTTTTTGTAGAAAAAACAATCTGAAAATATTAAAAACAACATTTTTATAGATAACTCGACGAGCTCTATCAAACCATGCTAAAGATCGACAATAAAGGTTTGTTGAAATTTTGAATTTCCAACACTTTACACTCACAAACTCGACATTTGTATATATAGGTGTTCAACTCATTATCGAGTATCGAACAGTGTAGAGGAGTTAAGTTTCCATGCAGAAGCCAGCAACTAAATATTTCTCTCGTGATTTTTCGATTCTATTCTGGTAACAAAGGTCAGTTTCAAATTCTTTGTTAGAGCTTAGTCCTCAAAACAAAAACAAAATTGATTGAGATGGTTCCCCTCATCTGAGGCTATGATTGTGATTATAAAAAAATCACACAAATTCTGACCTGTCGTTGATTGTGTTAAGTTGTCCATCGGTATGTTGTAGCGAACGTTGTTGGATTGATCCATGATCTACAGAATAGCAAATTAAATGTGTTTGTACGTATAACTGTGAGAAATGCTTACGGTTTCTAATCCTTCGCTCGTTATTGGTGTTGGTCGTTGAGGATCATTCATGTCTTCCTGTTGTATGAACACAAATATATTAATCAATCATCAGTATGCTATCGTAATGTGGCATATGCTGCGCAACATTTTGATCCGCTTTAATATCTATCTTTCAAATTTTAAACTAACTCGTAAAGCAACAGCTGATACCGGACTCTTAAAGTTTTCATGAATAAATCATCATTTGAATATTGCCGATGGTAACAGGGACATTTGCATATATCAAGTATAGACAGATATAATAGCTGCGTATGATTTGCCAATTAATTATTGAAACAATTTCTTTTGAATTCTCAGCTTCTGTATCTATCATTTTTGAAAGTTTTCTTAGAAAAATAACAAGAAGAAAAAACAGAGTTGAGGATTTTTAGTCGTCATTTTTTTTTATTAAGATTGCTTTGACGCATATATTCGTCAATAACGGTTAACGGGTTAAACACGTTTTAAGTATCACAGATATGTAGTGGGATCAATATGGTTGACTTGGTGGTGTTAATCCTTTCCACATAAAGATAGAAATAAACTGTATTTCGTTACTCTCAATCGGTTCTTGGATATATTTTGAAAACAAACTTGTAATTAGTTATGCAACTAGTGAATTCCTTATTGTTCTCTAACCCTTTAGGTTCAATATGAATTCAATTCAATTCGTTTTGAATGTATCAGTGATTCTAACACATGCAAAATCTAAAATTTGTAAGAAATACAGATTCATCTGTCGATATTGCTATCAAAAATAGTCTATCTTCTCATCATTCAAAAAAATCGATCGATTTTTTAAAATGAATTCCTAAAAATACTGAAGGATCAAGAACATCATTTATAATGACTTCTTTTCGTAGCGACACGGGAAACAGGAGACGAAAAGCGAACAGCACGTTCTCACCTTAATTTTCCCGGATGTGTCGGGCTCAGAACACTGCTCCTTGAGCGAATGCATAAGCTGTTGACAAGTCGGTCTTTGTTTGGGCTCTTGTGCCCAGGCGTTAGTAATAAGCTTCGCAAACAGCTCGGGAGTATCTGCTGGAATATCCAGCCGGTCTCCTCCTCTGACAAATGCACTTATCGTCGCATCATCAGCATCTTCGTATGGCTCACATCCTGTGGCTAGTTCCCAAAACACGATTCCCAGGGCATAAATATCACTAGCCTCAGTATGTTTTCCCATTCTGAGTAATTCCGGTGCTTTCCATGGTAAGGTGCCAACAACAGGACCATGCGTAGGCTGTTGCGAGGTTTCGTGACGAATTTTAGCTAGACCAAAATCACCGATTTTGACGAGAAAACCTTGAGCACTTTCGGTCATGAGAACGTTGTGCGACTTTATATCACGATGGATAATTGGTTTTGGAAGTGTGTGCAAATAATTGATGCCTTTGGTCATCTGAAATGCGATCAACCATCGAGCAGACCATGTCAGTTGTATTGTCTTTTGTTTCAAAACATCGTGCAGAGAACCGAGGGACATGTACTCAACAACAAGTGCATACTTTTCTGGTTCCATGCAACCACCAAACATGTTGAGGATATGTTCATAGCGAATCCTATTCATGGTCGAAATTTCTTTTATAAAGTCTTCCTTAACTCTCTCTCCCAGATACTGAATTCGAATGACTTTTATAGCTACTTCGACATCTTGAGAAAGCCATCTTCCACGATAAACATCAGCAAATCCACCCTGTCCAATATTCTCCTCTTGAATTAAATCATAATATGGGATCTGAAGAAAAGAATGTTCTTCATTTATTAGTTTCTTGGCTTTGACAGAATCGTTTGCTCGAATAATATTCTGTTCGAGATGATGCTTATAAGAATTGTATCGTTGTTTGATGTGTTTCTCAATACCTTGAAGATGATGAAGTTGTTCTTGTTGTTGTCGTACCATCATCGATGCGATCTCATGAAGTTTATCTTGAACTGTATTTAGGTCATTTCGTTGATCGAGTTCATCCTGTTTGCGGTCAAAAGTGTGTTCTAAATTAATTCCCAAATTGAGATCGATAGCACATTGTAAAAGTTGAGCATTTAATTTCTCGAATTGGTCTTTGGAATTTTGGTTGCTAAAGACTTTAAAGAACCACGACTTTTCACCCTGAAACATTGTGACAAAGGCGAGACATTGTTCAATGCACATGCAAAAGTTCATGAGAGATTTTTTCAACTTCGGGTTTTGAAGATCTGTGTCACTTATACATTTCATGGTGGAAGTGATCGTATCGATTCTCTCTCCTAGTCGCTTGCATTGGTTTTCATTAGCCTTCACCTGTTCAACCGTTTGTTTTATCGTTATTACTGTCTGATAAATAAGCTTGCAAATAGTTGCTGATTCCATATCAGTCAAAGATCCAACTTGAAACACTAGAAAAAAAAATACAATCTAGTTCAAATCATTTTCATAGACACACATCTAAAATAAAAGAGCAGCATTTGATCGAAATTAGATTTCATGCATCACACTTAATTTATGAGTGAATATCTGAACTGTGTAAACAATGTACAGCTGAATGAGAACGAATTTATGTAAATAAGAATGACTTCTACTTGGACAACAAACAGCTGCATTTCTCAAAGACTTGGCAATGAAAGTCTAATAATTTAATGGTTTTCAGATTTCATTCATTAGAAAATATTACTTTTCGTAATCAATAATTTATTTCTCGACAGCGGCTGATTTTCTGTTCATTTGGCCTACAAGTAACTCTTCTGCTTTTACCTTCACTGGCAATGTCGGTTGGTGCAAGTTGCTCTTTCATCTCCAGTGATTTCTTATGTAATTGGACGCATTTATTGTAGTCACCGCTCTGAGAAGCAATCTTGCTGAGTTCCGCATACAAAGTACTAAGAAAAGCGTCAGTTGGCGGAAGTTCGTTCACCAAACGAGTGTAGTATTTCTCAGCTAGATCAAGTTTACCCATGTTCCACAGCAACTTGCCTAATGTATGAAGATTCGTCTCTCCGATTCCACTTTGATTCTTCATGTCTGTAAGGACTTGTTTCAAATCGTGTTCATCGTCACTGCACAACGTCATTTGAATTATCCAGACTTGATCGTCACCGTGAGTGATATTGTCAAGACGAAAAATGGAACCAAGCATAAAGAGCACTTCTGATTCGTCAGCAAAACAGCTATATGTACTGATATCAGCAAATGGTTTTGTAGTGACCACTTCAGGATCGGCCTCAATCTCAAATAATACTAGCTCCAAATTAATTAGTTGAGTTTTATCGCCCATATAGAAGAGAGCTATTGGACGTTTGTTAGTGGTCGAAAGAAATGAATTCATAGAAACGAACTGCCCAATATATTGTTCAAGTTCTAGCAGCTCATCGATTGACATCAACTGACTTCGATAAACTCGCACAGGATTCTTATATTGATGATACTGCAACTGACGGTAGATGTCAAAAATAAATGAACGATATAGAAGAATCATATGAGTATCTTGCTTCCGCAAAGCTGCGTTCAATGTTCTATAGAAAAACGAGTCACGTGTGTACCACCATAACGCTTTAGTAGATGAGTATTCCTCTTGAAACTCAAGAAGCTTGGTGAGCTCGATGGTATTTCCTTCATATTCAGTTTTGCAGCAATAAATGAGCTCATCTTTGTCTATGTCATCGGACTTTAGTCGAAGAAGACAGTCGATAAGTACTTGAGAAAAAATGAATTGACCATTGATTCCTGTTGTTGATTTGCCTGTGGTGAACATATTCATTGATAACGGCTCTTCCTCTTTCTCCTGAACTTTATGATCTGCTTTGATTTGAGAAACAAGTTCGTCGATTTCAACAACAACGCCCTTCACCTAAACAAGCATTCGATCTAAAGAAACTAGAATTCTCAATTTAGTTTTACCTTGGCAAACCTGTTGGACCATTGTTCATTGCCTTTCTTATCTTTACAGTAGACGTAAATTGATGAAACTTGTCGCAGTTTATGAACGGAGGGCACTATTTCTTGACCTAATTCATCACTAATAATGAGCACTAGTCGATCTTGTTTTGACCTTTGTTTAACGTATTCCTCACATTCTTTTACATCTTGAAATTTCTTGAAATGATTGATGATAGTACGCAGTTTTTGTTCCGTGTTTTGACAATCTTCGTTGTTATCAGCAGCACAGAGCCAGATGAGACTGAATATTTCAAGATGATTATCATTACCATTTGTAAAAGACTTGTTATTGGGCAGTGCAACAGCCATAGCCATCTTGATAGAGACAACCAAATCGCTGATTGAACCAGGTTGAACTGACTAGTATCCACTTACTGTATTATACTTGTTGCACAAATCAAAAACTCAAAAGTTCGATCTTGAAAGAAAACAGAGGACAATTAATAACTGTAGAATTGAGTGGAATTATTATAACTATCTTTAGAGTGAATTCTTTTGTAAAATGATATTTCAAAATAGAACACATTGTTGAATGAAGTTCATTTGTAACATAAAATTGTCTATGCCAGAATACTTTAGAGGAAAAAAAGATTTTTCAGAAGGATGCGTTTCAATAATTATAGAAATGGTTCTTTTTCACTGTACAAGATTAACATACAACAATTTGCTATGCAGAAAAAGTGTACTCTGTCATATGATACACACAACAAGAACTGATTCACGTGTTAAGGCTACAATCGTCTGAGGATGGGTGTTGGTGTGCGGGTATGGGTTTGAACGTTGTTTTCGTCTACATCAACACGCACGCCCACACCCAACAAACACACACTCATACGCACACTCTACTTTATGGATGCCCAAAAGTCCGAAGTTTGGGGCGGAAAATTCAGGTTTTTTAGACACTTATGTTGCGAGTTGGAGGAAAACTATGGTGATATTCGGAATCCACTCGTCGAGATGCATCGAACTATATGTATCTAATAGTTTTTCAACAAACTATTTGTTTATTTGTAATGGTAAACCTATTCTCAAAACAGACTGTTTCAGATATTGTGAACGCTACAAACGAATAATGCTTGATCGAGCTAAAATTTCTACTATTGTTGGATTCTTTTAAATACCAACCGTCATTTGTTGAGTAACTCTTCACGATTAATAGCTATTGAGTTCGAGTTTTAGTCATTCGATAGAGCGGCGTAGGGTGCGGCTATCTATATGAAATTCATTAGGGCCTAAGAAGTTTTTTATGGTGGATATTTAGTTGATACATTTTTTGTTATCTATTTTCGTTAGTTTTCATAGATACCTCGGGTTAAATTACGTCAAAATTTATCCTGCAAGATACTGTATCCGTGATAAAATTTTCAGCTGTTTCTGTTATTGTCTCGAATGTGATAACTCTTCAAAATCCTGAGATTTTATGCAAATTCAGGACCTTCCAAGCTATATTTTGGTGTAATTTAAGCCTAAGCCTCAATGGAAACTAATGAAAACGGGTAACGAAAAATATATCAACTAAATATCTACCATAAAAAACTTCTTGGATCTTAATGAATCTCATATACATAGACGCCCCCCGTGCCGCTCTATCGAATGGCTAAAACTCGAACTCGATAGCTATCAATGTTAAAGAGTTATTCTAAAAATGGCGGTTGTCATTTAAAAAAAAATCCGACAATAGATACTCTTACATATGTTCCCTACTGATGGCAGTAGCGCCAACTCATGAAATCTATCCTAGGCTATCTTAGAGGTTTCCCTAAACTCCAGATTTTTGATTGAAAACCCAGTTTTAGACAATTATATTACAGCTTGAAGAAAAACTAAAATGATATTCAGAATTAGCGCATCAAACTGCGTTCAATCATACAAAGCTCAACATATTTTTCAAAAAAACTTTCTCGAAAAAATATGGCTGGAGTGTATTCTAGGCATGTTTTGGCAAAAACTTTTTTTCGAGTATAGCTTTTATTTTCCTAGAGATGATCTTCTGGATAATATACGGTCATTCGTGAAGAAGTGAAATCACTTTCTGAACAAGATATTCGTAGGTCCGCCTGCTTATGTAAGAGCTCCCCACTATACAGTGTAGAGATGTCAACGAAATTAGACAATTTAAAGAGAAGCATTCGGGCATGGTCTCTTGCTAGTTTGCTTCAATTCGTCAAATTTTGATCTAAGGCCATATGATCGGATAGTTCTAATAACAAATGCACATTGATATCCATAGCACTTTCAATGGAAAAAGTATCTATAAATTGTTTTTCGTTCGATGAATCTGGAGTTTTTTGGATGAAACTTAACATTTTTGAGAAATATGTATATGAATTGTTTATCTCTATGATCTCCATCTATCAAATAATACTTTCAAGTGTATAAAGGAGTGGTTCATATTCATTCAGAAGCACCTGTTAACTCCATATGTAGCAAAAAGCAAAGATTTGGGTAAAAATATTTATCTAATGAAAATACTTTGTATATCTTTGTTTTATCCACTCAACTTCATTGTGGTGTTATAACTTTATCAATTAGATATAAGAGACATACGAAAGAAAAAGAGAAATACAGTAATCGGCATAAGTGGTCGCGACCTCTATTTTTTGTTCAACAATGGTCTTTGTTTTATCTTTTTGCTTTGTTTCAAGGAAATTTTCATACTTATCATCTAATGTGCATAAGAGCATTTACATTCTTTCTGTTATCCACTTATAACTGAGGAAAAAATGAACATTTTTTTAAAGAAAATATGAGAAATTGTCTTTTTATTAAGGTCGAACTATGTCACACACATGTCAAATGCTGATAGTTCTCGATATATACGAATCAGTGAATCGACTGTTCGATATGGACGTGATAGGTATAAAATAGCTGGTGGCGTAGAAGTTACACAAAAATCCGGTTTATAACTGAAAAACAGGATGCAACAATTCGATCGATGGTAGCTCAGCATTCATCTGAATCTGTTGGCCAAATTCAGTTTAGGTTATCAAAGAAAGGTATACAAATTAGTAAAACCATATTAAAGAAAAGATTCGAAGAAACTGGTGTACAGTCAATGAAACCGACTTCAAAATCGTTGCTAACAGGTGACGATGCTTTAAAAAGCTCCAGTGAGTTATAAAACATAGAGACTGTAACCCAAATGAAAATGCGTGGGCAACAATGAAGTACAGAATAAACAAGCAACCACATATATCGATCAATAATTTCATTAGAAGAATAGAAAAAGAATGAAGAAAGTTACCTATTGAATTGGCTGAAAAATTAGGCGGTTGTATGGAAAATAGAGTAGCATTGTTAATTGAAAGAAAAGGCGATTATGTCAATTATCAAGATGATGTATAAATAATGTAGAATTGATAAATAAAATATAATAATACAACTTTTTTATCTTTCTCGTTTTTTCAATCACGACCACTTATGGCGATTTCTGTAGATAAATATTTTTGCAATACATCAATCTGATAGTTGACATAATGAAACATAGGAAGAAATATAACGAGGCAAGAAGAAGACAAAAAGAACGAAAGATCGTCCTTGCTATTGGCATTACTCGCAAAATATATTCGAAAAGAACGAAAAATATGCATGTTAAAGTGCATGATTCTTCCAGCAATAGGTTATATATACACGGATTTTTATTGTCAACAAAAACTGTTAGCACTTCTCGACGGCTTATACAGAAAATTTTTAACGAAGAAAAGAAGTTGAGCTAATATTTGAGTAGAGAAATATGAAGGTGATAAACAAACATGCACTATTTTTTTCGTATCAAATATAACCTTTTTGAATGAATAAAACATCATAAAAATAACACTCTAACTATAGATCACTAGAAATTTTGTTAAAAATTAAAGAAAAACATCGTATGATGAATGTTTGCACGGAAATAATTTAACGGAGTTGTTACCTTGGTATCGTCTTATCTGTAACTTTTCCAACTCGATCACACATTTTTTTAGTCAAATTAAACTTGATTCAATTGATCTACACTTGATCTTTCTGTTGCACAATGATTTCCCTCTTTCGTAATAGCCAAATACACTCTGCTACGCTATATTCATAAAATGTATCTCTAGAACGGGTATATTTAAGGGGTACATTGTTTGAGTGTGATATTGCGAAATGTTTCTCTGAATACTAGCAGACTCTTACTTCATAAACGGTGTTATTACTCAAAATGCTAATCTGGATACTCGTGTCATCAAAATTGTGTCACTTTTGACGATTAATTGGTGACTTTGCTAATGACTTCAACAGTAAGTATTATTTTATAAGAATCATAATTTGTTTTTCATTTATCTAAATCACCTGATCATCAACATTTACAGTAAGTTCTCATGTAGAATCATTATCTTTTTTCATTTTTACGACCTGGTCTGCTTATCGTAAATATTATTGGAATAATCGCAATTTTTCATAAAAGCGGGAAGAAATGGCAATTTTTGATAAAAAACACGAAAAATCACTAGTTTATGAGATTGATCGGGCTAATAAATCGTGATAAAATCGCCGATTTTTGTGCGATTTTGACGACATGGATATTTATTTACCTTGCTTCTAAAATAACTCGTTGTCTTCAGAAAAGTTAATGGCAAAGACGGTATTCTGACGCGTTTTTAAAAAGTCTTTTATTCAGAAAAGAACGTTAAAAACGTCGTGAATCGCGTGACAAATAAACGCATCTGAATGCATAGAAGCAAACGTGCTCGACCGATATTTTTATTAGTGTTGATTGCGGAGAAAAAACGTGTCCTAGCGCGTTCGTCAAATATTATTCTTTTTAGTAAAAGAATGCCAAAAACTAATATCTGCGGCGCGCCAAATAAACGCGTCTGAGTGCATAAAATCAAATGCGTTTCAGCATTGTTTTAACTAGCTCACTGCAGAAAAGAAAAATGTGTTGCAACGCATTCAAATAATGTGAATAAGTAGCGCTTTAAGTTGAAAAAAAGTGTTCTAAATGGACACAATGCGATTAAACACAAAAACAGAGTTGTTCTTCTAAAAGTTGACATTGAAACCAGAGATGTCATAATATCCATAAGCTGTGCATCCGTGTGCTACTAGTCACGATATTCAGTGAAGTGGGTGCCCAAAAACGTTGTATACCCTACCTTTAAAAGGTAAGAATTTTTATTGAGTTTGAAGTAACTGCGCGGTTCTCGATGGAAACTAACTTTGAATCATTCTGCAAGACTTTCTGCTTAAATTCAAAACTAAATAAAATATACTGAAATGTACACAGAATCGTATTCTGCCGCAAAACCACAGCTTATTTACAATATCTTCGGTGAAAAAATGTACTCAATTAA